GGGGGGGGGGGGGGGGGGGGGGGGGGACTGAGAATATCTTAAGAGGCAAACCTATACCTCCCCACCCCACCCCACAACGCGATTCTGTACTACATGATGTACATCATCAATGATAAGTATAATGGTGTCCAGACTCCAGAGCGGGCTGTGAAATGTACTCCGCGTTTTTAATTTTCAATTCGACTTTTATAATTTGGTTTTTATAATTTGATTTTTTTAAAGATCTTTTTTTTTACAAATTTGATTTCCAATTTTATTTTTTATTTTTATTTTTTATTTTTATTTTTTTATTTTTTTTTGTAGGAAGTTTTTGGTTATGCGGCTCGCGCCCCTGAAAGATGAGTTTATTAGCATTACGCCCCTCAAACTGGCAGCTGACACTGAGATGCCCCTGTAACAGCAGATCAACTATGCAAAATCTTCCCGACGTCGCTTGGTGCTGCTTGGATTTTTCCGGGTGCCCCCGGTGCATATGGTCGATTGGAACTCAGACGGAAATTTGCAATTCGCCCCCTACCGGTACGGAGCATGTCGTAGACTTCGGCCAGGGCCTGCCGCGAAAACGATACCAGTTCGGGCAGGGCCTCTTTTCATGCTGCTCCTGTTTTTCCTTTTCGACTTTCACCGACAGAATATAACAGAGTTGTCCTTTGAGACATCAGTTAAAATTGGAACGATGAGCGATACAGAGAAGATTGGGATGGGCCCTGTGCACACGCATAAATCGAGAAAAGGTCCAAATTCAGGAAAATAAATAAAATAAACGATGCAGAGAAGATTAGCATGGGCCCCCTGCGCATTTAAGGATGGCACACACAAATCGAGAAATGGTCCAGAAAACAAAACAGAAAAAAAAAAAGTTAAAAAAACAGTACAACAGAGATTGAATTCCTTCTGCTCCTGAGCTTGCCAGAATCACATAGGGCCTCGCTCCACTACTCATTACTCTACATGCATACGGACTGGGGAACTGACCAGGTACTTTCCGAACTGAACAGGTACATTCCAAACTGACCAGGTACATTCTGACTGATCCAACATTTGGAATGTATTGGGACCGCTAACCGCTCCAGATGCATATAGAATTTTGTGTAGTGGAGCGAGGCCCATAATCACCATCTTACCACCGCCAGAGTTTGCCTTGGTGATCGAGCCCTGACCCACTATGCCTGGAATCGAACTGGCGATCATGGGCATAACTGCTCTCCCCCCCCTCCTGCCCCCTCCTCTTCTAGCAGCTTCACGTACGGAAACCTTGCTACGACTTCTCCTTCCTTTAGATGATAACAATAAGGGTCAGGTTCAATGAATTTCTCACAGCACCCCAGCCGCAAACCTGCCAGGATCACAGCAATCCGGACTCTGTACCGGACTGGTCCATCGGTAGGAACGCCCGGCAGTGAGCACAAAGGGTCGGTCGTTCCTACCGTACCCTTGCGTCAGTAGGAGGAAATGGGTGGCGTGCACAAAGGGCGGGGGTGTGATCAGCAGACGAGCTAATGAATCGCCGCTTACTATGGCATTCCTGATTCAAGATCGATAACTGATTATCGATTGTCATGGCCCTTCTTTTTTTTTTTTTTTTTTGCTGTTTTCCAGGTCTTTTTGTAAAAGTCCCGTCGTTACAAGGGTCAACAACATTTTCAGCACGACACATCACTGACTTGATCTGAAGGGCTTCATTTTGTACCCCCATTCACAATTACTGGGGTACTCCTACCCATTTGTAACCCCCTGAGGAACGATTTCTACCCCCATTTCTAATTGTGTACCCCATTAATAACCCCCTGTCTATTGTGCAACGATTTCTGGTCATTTCACACACTGTATATATTTTCAGCCTATCTAAAATAATCTGAGGGCCCCAAACCACTTCACATCTTCAGAGAACACTCAGATCCAAACGAACCTTGCGTTAAAAAACAACAACAACAACAACAACGAACCTCACGATCATAGACTGCAACCGTCAACAACACCGGTGCCAGCCGGGTCAATGGCTTCAGCATAATGTCAGGTGAGTATGCCCTGACAAACGCCCAGCACACGTATGCAGCCGCATCGCGTACATGTCCCCCAATGCTGTGAGCGCCTCGGCGAACATCGTAGTGAAGTGCCTGCAACAAAAACACGCGGACTAAACCATGTCACGGGAAGAAAGGTACTCCAACCAAAAACCAACCAGCTCCCTACCTTCCTCCTCCTCCTCCTCCTCCTCCTCCTTCTCCTCCCCTGACTTAATCAACCACACCAATATATACCAGTCTTCCAGCCTCTTCCCCGATTGTCTCTCTCCAATGATAAGTGAGTTATTGTAGACCTGTCAGCCACAGAAAAGTCCACCACCAAAAGTACACACAAAGAAAGCGTTTTCGCATGGAAGACTACAAATATCCGGCAGAAGTGTTTCATGCTCTGTCTGCGGAGTACATATACACACTGAAATTTGCAGGCATGAATCGAGACACGAAAGCAGTCGGATGCATTCAAGATAATGCAAGTGTCAGTCTTCTCGCGTTTCATGCTGCGCACAGTGGGGGAATGAGAAAGGAGGGGCAAGGCAATTTAAAAAAAAAAGGTCACTTTATTAAAATATAAAAACAGGTTCCGAGCATCCTTCGGGACATTTGTTAAAATTGGAATAGAAGTTATAAATGCAAGGAAGATGAGCATTAGCGAACTTTGGCAATCAAACAGCATCATACATATGAGCCCAGATAGTCTTGACCTCGAACCACAGCAGACTGGCATCACRASATACACCAAATAAGAACACACCAAGAGTTCAAAATTGACAATGCTGAAGTAGTCCCATCATCATCAACTACGAACCAGAGTTGATATCCTATTGGCGCTCGGCGCCCAGACTACAGGTGGCAGATCCTATC